GTGTTCTGGAACAGTGTTGTAAATACAACTTAACCACTGATTTCTAGTCGTGTCCTCTTTTGGAAGACCAAACAAAGTAGTTTCGCTTTCACAACGAAACACAGCATCACTCACGGCGGGCTAGAGTGGCTGGCGGAGTTGACGAAGGAGCGGCCGGCGGGCTTGCGGCAACCACATGTGACGACCCCGGGCTGGACTCCGCTTCGTCCACGGTGAAAGCCGATCCGGCAATCCGCAGCTCGAAGTTGATGTATTTCCTCAGCGACCAGAACAGATCAGCTCTAGGCATGACGAAGCAGATATCGTCCTCTTTTGGAAGGCCAAACAAAGTAGTTTCACTTTCACAACGAAACACACAGCACCTTCACGGCATGGCGGCAGCAACAATACTACAGCGAGAATAAAAGTTACGCCTTCTTTCTTTGCGTGAAAATTTGGGTGGGGTCATGCAAATCTTCCCACATCGTGACGTAGACATGTGGGGGCGTGTTAGAACGAGACGTTTTAGGTAGGTGTGGTTGACTCTTAACTTTTATAAAGAATTTCTCTTTGGATTTGAGACTTTAGTCTTTGCAATTTTACAGATCTTCTTTATGCACCAAGAGCTTGTAACACTCCAAAGAGAAAGGAAAAATTTAAATTGCATCATATGACCCCTTTAATGAATAGGTAATAAACTATCAAATTACACAGTTAACGTGATTTGTTGTTTGAGGCCTCTCTTGGAAATACACTGGTTAAATTAAACAAGTCACTGCTTAAAAGAAAGACGGTATGAGATTTAGGGCAGATGTTAAATGGAAATACATCTTCACTCACATTCGTTCCTCCAGTAGATAATGGCTCATAATTTTTTTAAATACCACCTATCTATTAGGGCTGCAACTAACGATTATTTTGATAATCGATTAGTTGGTCGATTATTTTTGATAATGAGAATCGTTGTCGATGATTTTCATAATAGATATTTTATCGTTTTATCGATTAGTTGTTGCAGCCCTACTATCTATCTATCTATCTATCTATCTATCTATCTATATATATATATATATATATATATATATATATATACAAAATATAATATATATATATATACAAAATATAATATATATATATATAATTAATACATTAAAAGCATCAAATTAAACAATATGAACTATCAAATCCTCACAGAAATGACCCCCTGAAATCTGTTTCAAGGGACTGTAAAAAAAAAAAACCATTCAAACCAAAACCTGCAAACCATTCAAACATATTCCAAGTTCAGCATGATCAAATACAAAATTTTAGGATAAAAAGGCAGAGAAGGAACTGAGGCATGCAGATTTGTTCACTAAAACATACGTCTGATGGGCAAATTATAATAGCATACGTTTAGAGGGGAAAAGAGCTGCAGTACACACCAGGGCTTGACCTTGTGTAACTTATAATCAGCTTTCCTGACTATAATTTAGAATCCAATTCACCTTTCGAACACTGAAAACTCATCCAAGCTGATATATGGATCAGAATGCAGAAAACAATGAAGAACATCTATATTGATCATGAACTGACTGCAAATTCATCAGGCACTGCAATACACTTACCAAACCTTTTGTAGCCAAAAGACTGCACTTCCTCTTCATCAGTAAAGTCGTCTGCAAAAGTAACAAATGACAATGATATTAGTATAGCAAGTGCTGCAGGCCTGGTAATCAAATAATGTCCTGAAATAATATTCATCAATATATATATATATATATATATATATTTTCTGTGTGATTTATAAGCGTTTTGAAAAGTGGGGACATGGGGTAATGTCCTGAAAAGTCACCTTCTCCTTGTAATACTTATGTCATATCTTTGTCATTATACAAATTGATGTCCTCATTTGTCACAAAAACGCGCGCACACACACACACACACACACACACACACACAACCATTCAAATGTTTGGGGTTAGAAAGATTTTTCCATTTCTTTAAAAGAGGTCTCTTATGCTCACCAATGCTACATTTATTTGATCAAATATAAAAACTGTAATATTGTGAAATATTATTATTATTTTGTAATTTATTCCTGTGACTGAATTTAGAATTTTCATTACTCCAGTCTTCAGTATTGCATGATCCTTCAGAAATCATTCTAATATGCTGATTTGGTGCTCAAGCAACATTTCTTTATTATTATAAATGTTGAAAAAAGTTGTGCTGCTTAATATTTTTGTGGAAACCATGATCCATTTTTTTCAGGATTCTTTGATGAATAGAAAGTTAATAATAAAAGCATTCATTTGAAATATAAATATTTTCTAACATTATAAATGTCTTACTGGCAATTTTGACCAGTTCAATACATCCTAGCTGAATAACAGTATTCATTTCTTTAAAAAACATAATAATGATAATAAAAAAAAACTCACTGACTCCAAACTGTACTGTGTGTGTGTGTGTGTGTATATATATATATATATATATAGAGAGAGAGAGAGAGAGAGAGAGAGAGAGAGAGAGAGAGAGAGAAATATATTATGATAAAAAAAAAACATGTGGTCTGCATCTGACTGCTGAAATAACATTGGCCAGGATGGTCCATCCATGAGTTAACTAAATGGTACCATCTTCTACTTCCTCTTCCTGTCCTGGAGCGCTCTCTCATGTGGCTACCATGCTCATGGGAAAGGAGAGGGGTGACTCCAGGCAGTTTTATGTGTCATTGTCCAAGGCCAGAGAAAATAAAGAAAGAACACGTTTCTGTAGTTGGAGCCCACTCCCCCTCACTCTGATACTAAACCAGAGTCAGAACCGCAGGTGGGTGGGGGAACAGTCTATTAGAATCCCCACAGAGTGTGACCTCAGGTCCAACCATCCAACTGGACACACAACCCATAGAAACCTCAGAGTGGAAAACTAGGAAACAAACAACATGGGACAAAGAATTGCAGACGGATGCTGATAGCTATTTCAGTCTTTTCGCTGAATATAACAACACTCTGGGAAATGCAAAGGAACAAAGCTCCCACACACCCAAAAAAACATCATTTTTACAAAGCCACGGTCAGAAACTTGCCGTTGCAAGAGATATATTGTTTGAAATAAAACTTTTAAGGTTAAGAATGTTATGCATGAAGGAGTATCAGAGAAGACTGTGGATGACCATTACTCAGAGGAACAATATTTCACTGTGTGTGGTCTAAACACCCGTATTAGGTTTTTTTTTCATGTGCCTTTTGCTCTGTTTACTAATCATTAATATGTTAATGCCTTAAATTGAAAACATTTATCTAACCAAAAGATGAACCAAAAACAGTTATCTCACTTGTTTAAAGTATAAAATCCAGGCAACCCACAGGAAAACTGTTTGTCACTTTTTGACACAAACACAGTGACAAAAAATACAACTTTCTGTTTTTAGATACACATTTAGAAGTGATTTTTTTTCAAGTATTTATTTCTAATTGCACTGCATTAAATTCCAGTTGCATTAAAACTGCACTTCCAATGAAGCAATATTTTAAAAGTCCATTTTAAAATGTCTGAATGACAGCCTCCATCCATATGGAGGCTACATGCATTTATTGCTTTTAGTTCAATATAAACTCACACAATATTTACATTGAGATTTCCACTAGATGGCAGCATACTGACTAAAAAAGAGAAGCACAGTTAAAAGTTGCATAACTCATAACTAAGGCACAAGAATGTGATGTGAAGGCTTGGTGTTTGTCAAAACATCTGGCCATTGGACATGCAAATGATTTTACTGTAAGTGGCTCTCTGAATCACACGTTTAAATTCTGGTGTGCAATTGAGTTGGAAAACATCTTGGCTCATAGAACACCCAAGTTTCAACAACCTCTAAAAATACAGAGGACCTTTTCATTTTTAATGATATAACCCTGACCCATTATTTCCACAGCACAAATTACTGCAATTTAGAATTAAGAGCAAATTACACTTTTAAAGCTGCACTCATTACATTTTTGTTATTCATCCCAATAGTATACTAGTGGTGTTAGAGTTTATACTTAGACAGTCTGGATGAAACATTTTAGTTGCTGCTGCTGATCAACAATGAAGCTGTTTGTAAATGTTTTGTTTCCCTAATTCTCATTTTTGCAAAGTACCTGACTAAAAGCACTGACTAAAATATATCTATATGAAATAAACATTATTATTAGAGGCAACTAAAAAGCTGATCATGTGATCTCAACATGGCTGCATTCATGAGTGTGGACCCACTTCATGCAGAATAATAATAATAAAAAAATTCTACAAGACTGGTATATCTGTAGTTTTCATCTCATGTCAGTGTACATTATCTTAATAATGTGAAAGTGCTGTTTATTTCTTTCTGCGTAAAACTTTTTAATTGGTCTATAATAGAAAAAAAGACTGAATACACTTTTAATTAAAAATCAAAAAATCCAAACACGTATTTAACTCGATTTTAACGCGTTAAAGTCTCTCAGATTTAGCCTACTAGAAACTTTGCTGAAATGAGATTTCGGAAGTTCTTCAACCCTTAGAGAAACATTTACACACCACGCCAGATGTTTCATATAACGTAGCCACGCGTTTTCTTTTTTTAAGATAAAGGGAGCAATGTCACTGAACATCCCACACAATAGCTGGGTCAGCAACACAAGGTTGTGTGTAGATCCTTCTATTCAACTGTCTTATGGCAGTTCAGCCAAACAATCCGCCAACCTTAGACACTACGAGCAGTTAATAGCAACCAGATGTTTCGTGCACTGGAGTAACACACATTCCTCTCACAAGAGAAAGAAAGAAAAGCAGAAACCCCGAAGAGCGAAACGCGTGGATAGACTCAAGAGACTTCTATTAAAAAGATGCACTAAAAATGCGTAAGCAGTGGATCATTTGAAATGCATCTTACCCTTCATTGTGGTAAAACTGAAGTACACCGTTCCGAGCCAAAAGTTCACATCAATCTCATGACAATAGAGCGGACTCAAGAATCTTCCACACTGAAGTTTCACAGACGCGAATATTCCACCTGAAACATGCGTAGAATGTTTTTCACCCCTCAATCCCTGTGACTGACGCTAAACTTGAGAGAAATTTATAAAGGGGAAAGTCGTAAACAGCGATGTTTAATGAGTCGTACAAACTTCTGCTGAAGACGCAAACTCTTTCTCTCTCTCCGCGAGAACGTGTTCACGATGGAAATTCACTTGAGGTGAGTGAGGATGCCTCCTCCTCTGCCCTTTGGCTGCAACCCGATAACCAGAAAGAAGTTGGGACTCCGTAGGGTGTCTGTTAGTCCACTTGTTTTCTACTTGTGAATCTCTTAAAGGAAAACCAGGTGAAAAGCAGCTGCAGCCTCCTCTTCACTGAATCTCTGAATGTGCTGCACCGCATCTGGAGTTAAACGTCCTCTTGGCACATGGGAGGGTCTTACACGTTGCACTAGTTGGTTATCGTTGAGCTTGGAGTGCTGTGAAATCTTAACCTGTAATAAGAAACAGTATAGAAAACATTACTACTCAAACTACTACGCGATTGTGTTCACTCAAAACTCAGCATTTTAAATACCTTCATATATTCTGCACTTTTATTCACCACTGTTATGACGACTTGACATGGGTTACAGCTGTGCTGTTTAAGCACTATGAGTAGGCCAAACTTTTAAGCTTGTAAACTATTACACTGTATATAAATTGAGGACTGGAGTCGTCACAAATGAAAGTTATATATCAGTAACTACAAAGTTTTGAGCCAAAGTTTAATTACAAAAGTGAGTGGTTTCGCTAGCTGTTTTGTGTGTTGGTTTCAAATATCTAGCTCACAGCCCTCTTAAATTCAAATTACTTTGCAAATTTTATTCTCAGAATTAAAATACCAATATCATACCTCTCTATAGCTGGTGGATAAACAAGTGAACAAAATAAAATTTCACTGCAAGATGTTGTCACATGTTTTAAAGGGATAGGGACAACCAAATAATTGACAGTAGCCATTGACATCCATGGTATGGGAGAAATACTATGGAAGCCAATGGCTACCGTCAACTGTTTGGTTACCAACACTCTTCAAAATATCTTCTTTTTTGTTCAACAGAAGAAATAAACTCATATAAGGTTTGGAACAAGTGGAGGGTTTGTAAATGATGACAATCTCATTTTTAGGTGAACTATCCCTTTAAGTACTATATAATTATACAAATTATTTATTAAAATATTTGTTTCCTGAATTATGTTACATAATTTAGACTAGAAAGCTTATAGGTTGAAGTGAAAAGTCCTTTACGTGTGTTGGCTGTTGCTCAGAATTGCTTGCACAATCGTTCCGCTCCCTTCGGGTTTAATAAGCTCACAGCTCATTTTGTTCTTTCTTTGCATTTCTCTCTAAATAAATCCCTTTGCCACAGGGATCCATGATTAACTATTTGACATCCCGCTGGATTGTTCAGAATTGTGTGATCCGTTGCACCACACAAGTCTTTTTCCAACTTAACGAGGCTAAGCGCTAACGTAAAAAACAAACAAAAAAAACAACTCCAACGTATTAAAGCTGCACTGCTGGGCTCTAAACTACTTTATGAGCCCTCTTAAGTATCAGAAGCCTGTGCCAGAGCAGGTGCCTTATCCATTTTTGTTTACCTTTGGAATGACACTTTACTTTCAAACTTTACCATGGTAACCATCGTTTCCACCAAAAATCCAAAGTGCTTCAGTTGTTACAGAAATGAAACAAAATGATTCTGAAAGCTTACAGCATTTGAAGGACATCCAATATTAATATACTATGGTTTTACAGAAAACAATCTGGCTACTTTTCATGGTACATTTTCATAAGGAAGAGGGTCTGTATCATTTTATACTAAAGCAATGTTTTTATTGCATGTTCTGTCGTTACTGTTTATATGTATTCTAAGGTTTCCGTGCTCTCATATCCAGTAATTCACCCTCGGTGTGCCAACCACCAGGCCTTTGGCTCTAGATGAGCGTGACAGGTCCAGATAGGGTTATGAGAAACAGGTGTGTTTAGGCTTAGCAGAGATGGACATATAAGTGGCCCATATTGCTGTTTCTCATTAGAGGTTAGAAAATACTATTTTCAGGGTCACAAGCCCTGAAGAGAGGGCACTTTTACAAGGACAAGGAGCGCTAATGAGAAATGTGAGGGGAATGTGGGCCTACACCACATCTTTGTTGCCAATTTCTGCTTTATTATATATATGCAAAGTTGACAAGGTTGTTTTTAAACCTTGAGAATTTAAGACTTATACATTGTTAGGCCTGTCACGATAACAACTTTTTGTTGTGCGATATATTGCCCCAGAAATAATTGCGATAAACGATATTATTGTCATTTTAAAGACCATTTTATGCCACTGAATATATAATCATAATGTAACAGCATAATAATGCAAGAAGGCCTACACACTTCCAAATGACAACAAACTTTTAATTTTTAAGAATATTTAGATCATGGAAATTAAGAATCAAAATATTAGATACCTTAAAATATAAACATTTTCTAACAAAAAAGTGCAAAGTAACAAGTACAAAAAAAGACAAATGCGCTTTTATGGAGATTTTTCCATCTACTGATTTTCCCCTGACCTTCTGATCTCTGTAAATTAAGGGTGCACACTATTGCTGAAAAACACAATCACTACTTAGCAGTCAGATGTCCGTATGCACAAAGGCACAGGTCCCTAAACAAGGCCATATCTTCAGATTAAACTTTTGTAGAAGCATTTTTTAAATTTGAACTAGCACCTCATGACTACACCACGTTATGTACGAGAAGCTGCAAAAGACACCGGCGCAAGTGGAATGTAAAAAACACGGTGACATACATTTTTAAGTATATATGGCGATATATTGCGTCACCAAAAATGATTGAGGTCATGTACATATATTGCGCAATAAGTGGATATATTGATTATTGCGACAGGCCTATACATTGTAAAACTTATAAAATTTACCTTTGCTATATTTACCTTTACCCAAGTTTAGTAAAAATGTAAAAATGCCATAGCACAATTAGCAAACACTACTGTTCAATAGTTTGTAGTCTTTTTAAGTAATTTATACTTTTGTTCAGCGAGGACATAAAAAAAAAAAAAAATTATGTTCTTTTGAACTTTCTATTAATCAAAACCTGAAAAAGTGCTGTATCACAGTTACACAGAAATATTAATCATTTTTTCAACATTGATAACAATAAGAAATGTTTCTTAAGCACCAAATCAGCATGTTATAACGATTTCTGAAGGATCATGTGATGCGGAAGACTGGAGTTTATGGCTGCTGAAAATTCAGCATCACATCACAGGAATAAATTACATTTTTAAACACATTAAAATAGAAATCAGAAAAAAATTATTAATAAATACAAATTCCAGAAAGGATCATTGTGGCCATATAAAGATGATGTATGTATGTTTATATGTTTAACCATATACTGAGATGCAGAACAAAAGCTAGTTTTGGTGGCTGGATTACATCTCGGACGGCCATAACCTCTAAATGCTTTAATTGGATTGTCTCTGGTTCTACTTAGTATAAATAGAAGTGTCCAGGTAAAGATAAACAACACACCTTCCCTCTGCAGCAAACAGCATTTATCACACTGCATAGTCAGACATCAGTAGGAAGTTTCTGGTGAGTTCCTATCCTTTGATCTTTATATAATGTTAGATAGCTCTGCTTACTTCACTCAAATAATATTTATATTAATAATATTACTTTCACAATGTAAAGATCCTGAAATGTTTAATTGGATAGTACTGTATGATTACTTATGATCACAGTGTATTTTACTGTGGACGGAAATTAAATATGCTAAACGTGAATTGCTATGTTGATATTTCACTGATCTAATGATGATCTAAAAGCAAACAGATCAATAATGAATATAAGCAATTAGGCATGCACATTCAATCTATAGATAATTTTAGGATGTCATCATAGAGCTAATTTTATACTAAATAAATGTATATGTTTACTTGTTAATTACTTAAGCAGTGATTTAAAAGCCTCATTTTGACTAATGCAGACACTATGAATATCAATGGCAGAGATGCACTGATTGTTTTACCAGCACTCAGACATATGATGTGACAGCTTTACAACACTAGCTTTTGACTTGAACTTGCCAAATGTGGCGGCTCTGTTGTGTTTATTTAAGACAACAGATGGCCATGAAGTAAAGCTGGTGAAGGTGTGCACCTCTGGTGGCATTTCTAGAAGATTGTCTAGACTATTCTAGACTGATTTGCCTCTTAAGATAACACCTCATATGTCTGTTTGCTGATCTTGGAAAAAAAAATGTTTTGGGTAGATTTGAACATACAGTTACAAGATTTGTTTGGCTCTACAATATGAAGCCACATTCTGTAACCTCTTAAACTGCCCAATCTATCACATATTCGGCCTTCTTAATCCCAGAAAGAAGCTTCTAGAGAATTGGGCCTCAATTCTCAGTGGAAGTATCTGGAAGCAAACATAAAAATGGATTAGATACTAAAATACTAACACAAACCAACCACATAGACTAAAGAGTGACAGATACTGACTAAGTTTCCAGAAAATTATAAAACCCTGAATTTCTTTGAACTGTGAATTTTCAGTAAAGATGTAGTGCCACTCAGTGGTTACTCACAGCTGTTACTGCTCCATCATTCTCATGATCAAAACATGATCGAAAGACTGAGACTGACTGGGGACAAAAAAACAAGAGACAAGATGTCTTATTATTGTATATTACAAATTATAAAGCCTTTCAAAAATTATCTGCAGCTATTTAATGAAAGTCTCTAAACCACCTACTTGTTTCTTAAACAGGTCTTGAGATTGCTTTGAAGTTGCTGAGGATGAGAGCATTGATCCTCTCTCTGGTTTTACTGGCATCTCTGGGGGCTTTTCATTGTGCCCCTGATACTGCCCTGCCTCCGACAGCCAACACTCTCAAACGTGAGTGCATCCTCTAGCCAAAGAGATGTATATCATGACTATGTGCTCAAATGAATACACAAAAGCCAGGGAACAACCTTATGACTTTATGACATGACCTGAAACATGATGGTCTTTCAGGTCTGTCTCTGGAAGGGGAGAAGCTGGTGGATCAGGAGGTCAGCAAGGCACTGTTTGGGATCAAACAAATGAAGGAGGTGATGGCCAGGAATGAACAGAAACACGCAAACCTCATGAAGTCTCTCAGGCACAGCGGGGAGAAGAAAAATGTCAGCAATTATTCAAGTGACATCTTTTTAAAACCAAAATAAACAGTCTTTCTGTTCGTTCTAAACAAAACATTCCAAACATAACAAAATTAAGTACCATTTAGATATAAATGATCGAAACCTGTCATTGGCTACTTGCACCATCAAGGAGCAGCAGAGATCGCACAGGATATAGAAAAGACGCTGAATGAAGCTGAACAGCAGTGTAAGGAGTCTCTGAAGTCCTCCTGGGAGGAATGTCGACCTTGTCTTGAGGACACCTGTAAGAACTTCTATACCAACACCTGCCGCCGTGGATTCGCCACCTTCACCAATAAAGTACAGAATTATCATCCACCTTTACCATTCAAATGCTGTGTTTTGAAACTATTTGATATAAATTGAATCAAAATACCAAAGTTCCATTTTGTATTTTTCTGTTCTCCACAGCTACAGAACTTCTTCCAAAGGCTGAGCTCTCGCTTTGGCCCTCGTGATGCTCAGGATGAGGTTGTGCTGAACCAGAGTGCAGAGAATCCTGACCTGGAGGTGGTGAGGATCGAGGACTCCTTCAGCAACCTCCTCACCAAAGTGGGAACCCTGGTCAATCGCAGTGTCGTGCTGGTCTCCCACTTCCACCGTGAGCTGGACCAGGCCCTACTCAGAGCTTTCAGCCCTGAGCTTCAGGAAGATAAAGAGAGTGAGCTGGTGCTCAAGCCTGCCAACAAAGCTCTGGATTCTGCCTTTCTAGAGGGTGTGGGGCTGGAAGATGTGCTTGAGTCCTTCTTTGATTTTGGCAGAAGTGTGTTGGAGGAGTTTGGGGCCGTTGTCACACAAGCCTTCAGTGACATTCATGATGATATGGAGAAGACAGAAGAGGAGAAAGGTGCTTTATCCTGACAAATGTCTGTTCAGCCAAAAATTACAATTCTGTCATTTACTCACCCACATGTTGTTAAACCAATGACTTTGTTCTGTGGAACACAAAAGGTGCTTACTTAAATAATAATCAGGCCATTCTTTGCAATACACTGAAAGTCAGAATAGGGACTGTCAGTTTCCACAATGACAAAAAATTATCATAAAAAGTCATTAAAACAGTTCATGACATTTGTTGAGTAAATAATGACAGAATTATGGGTTAACTATTCCTTTAATGCAATAATACGCCTGTACAAAGTTACAGAGGCCCGTTCAAATCAATGATGATCAATGAAAATGATCAAATCAAATCAAGCCAAATCAAAACCCTACTCTAAAACCTGCGCTTAGAACAAATAAAACGTTATCATCTGTCGTTCTGGATGCTAATATGCTTATCATTATTATAGTTCTGTCAGGACCACTATCGTCAAAATGATAGATACTTAGCATAAAGTTTGGTTTGGCGGTATGGTTCTGTTCTGGGCAAAAACCTCCCTGCCCATCCATGCAGCCTGTCATGAATGAGCAGGGAGAGCAGCAATAATAACCCCCCTAGGGTTAACAGAACAGAACAAGGCAGATATCATTAATGTACTCAATGATATTTAAGTGTAACACTTTATTCAAGATAAAGGAGTCTGATTAGCAAGGAATATCAGAAAGCTAAGTCCTGACATTGGCGAAAGGTGGAGCTGGGGATGGAGGAGGGTAATTTGCTCCGAAGCAAGCTGAAAAGCTGCTGAATAATACTGAATACAGCTTATATAGGAATGCCGCGATAGGTGTCGTATTCCTATAGGTAGATGTGATCAGCTGAGAATCAGCTGATGCAAGCTTGACTCACGTGACCTGCCAGAACTAACGCTAAAGCTTAATTTCAGGCCCGTTCACACCAAGCACGATAACTATAGCCTACTGTTTTAATAATCATTCTAACTCTATGAGAATAGCAAAGTCCACATCATAGCTGTAACGATAACAACACAGAGGAACAATATCGCTGGAGTCAGGACGATATTTACAGCCAATCAGAATCTACCTGACTCAAGCATTTAAAGCGGCAGACGAGTCATAACTGTAACACATGATTATAATAAACAGAACGTTATTATCCGATGTTGTGGATGTTAATTAGTTATTGTTTGTTTGTGTGTGTGTGTGTGTGTGTGTGTGTGTGTGTGTGTGAGTGAACGGGCCTTTTACGCTAAGAGAATAGCAGAGGCCACAATACCAACCATGATACAGAGAAACAATGTGGAATCCCTTTCAGAGCTATTTTATCCAGATGATGAACAATAAAAACAGTGGGACTGAGTACAGGGGGTCAAAAGTTATTGGGGGTCTCACTATGATCCCCCAGCTGATGAATGATAAAAACATTGACAGCCAATTGGAATCCACACGATTTTAAAGAGCTTGAGCTTTTAAAGTAGCGGACAGCATAACTGCAGTGTGCTCTTAAACAGAATGTTATGGTGCGCTGATGTGAACGCTAATATAGTTATTGCTCTTGGTGTGAACAGGCCTTAACTCTCTCTACTTGTGTCTGTATTCACTCCAGAGAAGAAACTCTTCCCTCAGTTTCTGCAGAACAAGAGACTGTGCAGAGATCTGCGCAGACAGTCCTCAGAGTGCTGGCAGCTGCAGAGCAAGTGTGAGGCCTGCCAGGGAACCTTGTTCACCGGTAAGAATGCATGCTCACATTGATTAGTTAAATGGATAGTTCACCCAAAAATGAAAATCCTTTACTCACTATATTCCAGCTCTTTTCAGAAGTGTGAAGAATAGACCTAAGTCATTGTTTATTAAGACATTATTAACTGCTAACTGTTACCTGATTATCAGTTAACAGATGTATCTGATTTGTGAAATAATAATTCAGGCTGGTTAGTGAAACTGATTCAACTGATTCATTGAAAAAAATTGAGCTCAAGAACAATCATTCTGTTCCATGGAAAAACATTGGAACAACATGAGATTATAGAATTGATGACAGAATTTTCATTTTTGGGTGAACAGTCCCTTTAAGAAAACTCTTACTAGTGGTACTGATAATTTCAAGTACTCACTGTTTAATTTGCAGAATGCCCAAATGTAAGAGAACTGCACATTGAGTTGGATGAAGCTTCTCAGCTGTTGGAAGCATCCAAGCAGCAGTACGAGGAGGTGCTGGGCATCGTGCAACGTCATACCGATGACACCATCAGCTGGCTCAGCAACATGGCCTCTGACTTTGGTTGGGTGACTGAGCTCGCCAATAACACCACCACTCCTGAGAGCATCTTCAGCATCGCCACGGTGAGACACTAACAAAAAATATCATGGTATTACCATTTTTATTTTTTGCCATACTGTGCTATTTTGGACATGTAGCATTGTAGTACCATTGAATTCACTGAAATACCTTGCTACATGAATATGGCAATTATTCAGTAGGTGAGAAAAAACAGATACTAAATCTACTGATCCAAAAAAAACAAGTTGGTGGCACAGACTGAGGTGGGCGACAACACCCCAGCAGCAGACACTACAGTGGAAGTGAATATTCTCAACTCCCCCACTCTCACCCTGACCGTTCCTGCGGGTCTCAGGATGCAGGATCCCGCCTTCATCCAGTATGTGGCACAGGTGGCTCTGGGCATGTACAAGCAGATGGCCAGGTGAGACACTTTCCAATTAGTCACATCATGAAGCACGTCAGAATAGTTCACACTCATCAGCACACATTTCATAGGAACAGTTAACATCTCATGAAGAGAACACCCCACAGTTTAATCACATAAATCATGGATTCTCAACCAAGGACTCGAGGAGTCACTAGGGCGCCTTACTTAAAAGTATTTACTGCTTAAAAGTATTTAAATTGTTATTAACCCTATCAAGCCTGCTGAATCATATTTGATACATGAATTTTTAAGGGCTCTAAAATATCAAAACGACAAAACATTGATGAAAAACTTGATAGTTCATACTTTTTTTTTTTTTGCAAGAAAAAGGCCTGCGAGTATAATTGTAAAGATGTTTGTCAAAATTTTTTGATGATTTCTATAAAGTAAATATAAGAATAACTTTGATATTTTATTAACATTTAAATATAACAATTTACTGGTCTGATCAACTTAGGTTTGTTAAATTTTCCATAAATAATGTTTAAGAAAAATAGTGCTAAAACGTATGTATCAATTATCATACAACAGGCTTTTGAGGAACATTTATTTGCACATCTCTCAATCATCATTGTACTGTATTGCATTGCATTGTGTTTGCCCCCAAAATTAAAACTACAGAGCGCTGATCATAAAAATAAGCATTTAAATATCTTACGAAGCCATATCATTGGGACATATAGTGTAACAGCCGATACTTCTGTGAATGTTATCTACGTAGTTTGTTATACGGTTTTAAAAATAAACATTACAAGGTATCAGAATTTAATCTTACTTTTTGGCCACTTAAATAACAACAGCTGCACCAAATTGCACAATTTTGCTCAGTTTGGGCCCCTAAATAAAATGTATTTCATCATACTAAATATGGCCCATTAAAGTCTGATGTATCAAAAATGATAAAACATAAATTCATTAAAAGACGTGAAATAAAAAAAAGATTTTGTTTTGTTAAAAGGTTCAATAAACTGTTTCTTTAAAAAAAAATCTGACTTCATGTACTCTTTACAGGGTTAATATTTTAAAATGACCTGAACAAGCTCTAAATTAAAATGTCAAAAGGTAGGTATTGGACTAGCCTCTAACTTGTTGCCTTCTTTTCATCATTGTACTGTATTGCATTGCATTGTGTTTGCCCCCAAAATTAAAACTACAGAGCGCTGATCATAAAAATAAGCATTTAAATATCTTACGAAGCCATATCATTGGGACATATAGTGTAACAGCCGATACTTCTGTGAATGTTATCTACGTAGTTTGTTATACGGTTTTAAAAATAAACATTACAAGGTATCAGAATTTAATCTTACTTTTTGGCCACTTAAATAACAACAGCTGCACCAAATTGCACAATTTTGCTCAGTTTGGGCCCCTAAATAAAATGTATTTCATCATACTAAATATGGCCCATTAAAGTCTGATGTATCAAAAATGATAAAACATAAATTCATTAAAAGACGTGAAATAAAAAAAAGATTTTGTTTTGTTAAAAGGTTCAATAAACTGTTTCTTTAAAAAAAATCTGACTTCATGTACTCTTTACAGGGTTAATATTTTAAAATGACCTGAACAAGCTCTAAATTAAAATGTCAAAAGGTAGGTATTGGACTAGCCTCTAACTTGTTGCCTTCTTTTCTTTTTTTTTTTAGGCATGATGATGTATAATCTACAAGTCATAAGCTTTCATCCCAGCACTAACCAGGGTACACTGGTATCATCATATATATTTATATTTTATGCATTGTGTTAAGTTTAAAAATCAAGTAACGGTAAGTTCTGTCATTTATTTATGGTCTTATCATGTGACAGGTTCCAGTTAGCTGCATTTGTAACATGTCTTGTTAATTGACTTAAACATCAGTATGTCAGAAATGTACTTAAGGTATAATTAAAATGTATATCACTGTGTGATTGTAAACAAGTATAACTGAATCACAACTTAAAAATAATTTACTTTTAGTGCAAAACCATTTCCTAGTTCAGGGCTCACCAAACTCGATCCTGGAGGGCCGGTGTCCTGCAGAGTTTAGCTCCAACCCTAATCAAACACACCTGAACCAGCTAATCAAGGTAATCATACTTGAAACTTCCAGGCAGGCGTGTTGAGGCAAGTTGGAGCTAAACTCTGCAGGACACCGGCTCTTGAGGACCGAGCCTGGTGACCCCTGTCCTAGTTTATTACATCAGTAGGCCTTTATGTGTATAAAGCATTATAAATGTTTCATTTAATTCTTGAGCATATTTCTATGGATGCCTGCTTCTGTCTCAGAGTAAAAAAATGTAATTGTGAGAAACTAACAAGAAATAAAGCCACATTGTGAGAGATGCACTGATATTGCAAGATTCAAATTCAGATAATGCACTATAAAGTCCCTTTTTTCTGTTCAGTCCCAGTCCAAATGCGATCTACCTACATTTTCCAGGGATGAAAGTGTTTCACAGAAGTCTGAACAACACAAACACACATGATTTACAAATAACTCACATGGAGTTAAAAGCATTACGTAAAACTTTATTTTTTACTGTACAAATTCTTCAGATTAGTAATCGTAACCATTGTTTCACAACTAATGTCCTCATCAAACTGCAGCGGAGACCCTCAGCTTACATTGGAGTTCTTCTCTCTCTCTCTTCTTTTTTCTGACACAAAGAACAAAAATCAATAACAGAGTTTTGCACAAACTTGCCTGTAGCCCTTGTAAAACAGGAGGTGGTGATGGGAGAGATGTCTAGTTGATGTCCTAGGTACAGGAGGAGACAAATTTTCTAGGACAAAGGGCTCACATAAATGAAGGACAAATGCAAGGCCTCTCTCTATATATGAAAAGCTACACGATAAAAGGGAGAAGAAACCAACAAATTAGCCATCCTAAAGATATCAGTCCGATTCATCCCAAGTGCATTCGATTCCTTGTCATGGATGAAATGAACCTGTTATAGACAGTACATGACCAACCATTAAGACTGAATCTGAAATGGTGCAAAAATTGTATGGCTGTATGATGATATCTAATTTGCCCTCTCCATTAGACTTGTACCATTTTAACAGATCAAGGAAAACATCAATCACATACTTTTTTTATGCGCTCAGGATGGAAGGCAAATTGTACCGACTCCAAGCTTTGGTTGGTAAATGGTCTTAATCTGTAGTACCTGAATATTTCACAGTGATCGATGCCTAAACAGGAAATGTAACAACTCCACCAGCAGCAAACGTGGTACATCATGGAGTTTCTGTAATTCTGATTCCTGGTCAAGAAACTTGCAAAAGAGTCAAAACAGATCTGTATGAAATCATTTGAGCAAGTTCACATTCGTATGTCAAGATGAAGAAACCATGGCTCTCTTGAGATATACTGAAATATTTATGTATGAAATAATCTGTGAAAGTTCAATAAATCTCTGTGGTTAATTTATTTGAGTGTACATGAGAGAACAATTAATTGGTACCAAGTGGTTGGCAACACTACAAATGTGTTGGTACAAAAAATTCTGCCCCTGTAATTGATGTCTTAAACTCAAACTCCCATACATTCAGAATGGCTAATGCCCTCATGCGTCTCATTCTCGCTGTCCTTCTGACTTTCACTGTCCTGTCCCAACAATGGCACTGTCACTGGTAGCGTCAACCAATTCAACCACAGTTATTGGTCACTTTTAATAAACTACTCAAACTACTAAATAAAATAAAAAAGGGGGAAAACGAAAAATACAACTTTAAAATAATAAAGATATAAATTTTACAATAAGATTTAGTGTTCAGGTAAAAAGAAACAGACAAAAGGGAGGGGAAAAAATGAAATGGATAAAAAAAAAAAGAAAAGTAAAAGCTGATTTTGTGCAACTGTGAACCAGCCATCAGCAATGCAGGGAATCACCCCAGCAGAGCTCTGGGAGCGTGATGTGGTCCCGCTCATACACACACCCTTGCCAACTCCACCACACACATCTTCAGGCAGAGAACAGCCTGTATCTGCTGTAAAAGATACGTTTTATGCACTAATCGTGTTTTTAAGTTTGGCTCTGGGAGGGTAAAGGAAAAACAAAAACATCTCTGTAAGGACAAGTGTGCAGGGGAGCTGTAGGGAGGAGGTGCCACAATGGGTTTGGGAACCGTCCCGGTGGCTTATTAGCACGTGGTGGTGAGTCTCTGGCTCCCGTAGAAGGTCTCTACAGGTTGTCTCCGGGCTGGTACTGTGGCTCAGTGGCGGTGAAGTAGTCCTCCAGGAAGGACTGGATGTATTCGAAAGTGGGCCGCTCGTCTGGCTCCTTCTTCCAGCAGAGCCGCATCATTTCGTGCAGCGACTCCGGGCAGCCCTGAGGACACGGCATCCTGTAGCCACGCTCCACCTGCTCCAACACCTCTCGGTTCACCATGCCTAAAAAAACAGTGGATACAGAGTCAGTTTGTGCGACCGCCAACTGTTCAGTGGCCAGACTGTCTCAGACAGGATGTGAGGGGTGTGTAATTACAGCGGACACTTCGCTTGAAACCCACAGAGGACGGGAGCATTGAGGACAGAGGGGACAGACAGTCTGGTGCTACGTGAGAGAACGGGAAGCGTAAATCGGTGGGTCGACTGTATCCGAGAGCTCTCTCAGAGGAAGGGCCGCATATGTACATTGTTTAAGCATGTGAGAAACTGAGTGACCTTTTTGAGCCCAGCCTACCTTCATTTACACTCGCTTGCAAAATGACTTACAACAATAAGGCTTATGTGTGCTAAATTCAAATCAATAAATCTTATGTTAATTGGGAAGTTAAAAAGCCGCTGGACTCCCTGTTGTGGCTTGAATGGAAATGCTTAAGACTATTAAGGCAAAGCTTTGTCATATTACAGATTATAAACTTTCTCTTTCACTCTTATCAAACCTATGAAATAATTCAAGCCTGTATAGCCGAACAGTGTACACTAACATCTAAGGGCATCTGCGGTTAAAATGCTGATAGTTTAAGGATCTCTATTACTGGGGTTCAAACCTTCAAGCTTTTGGCAAACAGCCCAGTTCTTTAACCACTAAGCCACACTGCTGGCACTTGAGCGAAGTTGCTGCATTAATCCAGCATGGAAGCAGATGCCCATCAATAATGGACTGACTCTAATAGTGTACAACTGAACGATTGATGAAAGCCTAACTGGGTTTGTGATGTGCAGCATCAATGTGAGGCTTTAGGTAAACATTACAAATGACAGACTGGGCCGTGTGAGGGACGAGTGCAGGAAGGGAACAGACAGATGGTGGTAAATAAGAACTGGTGCCCAGTCAGTCCTTCATGCCCTCCCGCCTAAGCCAGATGGCTCCTTCGGAGCAGTAATAACACACCCAGCAGTCCCTCTCTGCTCCAGTAGGGGGCACAGTGGAATTCGCACCTCTCAGTTTGGAGCTCTATCTACCTGCAGGTCTGTTGGATCCCAACCCTGCTTAAACACACCTGCCTGTAATTTTTGAGTAAACCTGAAGACCATGATTAGCTGGTTCAGGTGTGTCTGGAGCACATACACTGGTTGTGCATGATATTAAAGGGGTAGATCACCCAAATATGAGATTTCTGTTATGTTTTTTCAAGTCCATTAGACTTTGGTTCATCTTTGAAATACAAATTAAGATATTTTTAATGAAACCTGAGAAGTTTCTGTCCCTCCACTGAAAGTCCAGGTAAGCAAAACTGACATCCAAAAAGGTCATAAAGTTGTTGTAAAATAAATCCATATGAATCAATTGGTTTAATCCCAGTCTTGTGAAGAAATACGATTGGTTTATAAGATGAAGATTTAATTTAGGCATTTATTCACATATAAAATACATACGTCACACGCTAAAGCATACCTCATTTGTTTTTGTGCATCACACATGCATGTTTGAGCTTACGTGTTTTACCATATGTAATGTACTTTATGTATGTGTGTTGATCGTTGTTTAAATATAAATAAAACCTAAAATAATTCTGTTCATCATACAAAGCAATCATCTCTCTTCAAAAGACTTGGATTGGACGGCTCAATTCATATGGATTCATTTTATCACTGCTTTATGGATCTTCTAAGTTTGACAGAAACCCCTCAGATTTCTTTAAAATATCTTCATTCATTCAGGTTTTGAAAGACATGAGGGTGAGTAAATAACAATAATTTAAATTTTTGGGTGAACTATGCTTTTAAATATGCATGGAAGTCTACCTCAAAAGCATATCAAATGTAATCATCCTAAAATAAAAGTGCGAGGAAAAAATTAATTACTGCTGAATCAAATGTAATATTTCTCACCTGGATATGGCACTCTGCCCTTGGTCACCAGCTCAGTTAGCAGGATACCGAAGGACCAGACGTCAGATTTGATGGTGAATCGGCCATACAGCGCTGCTTCTGGTGCAGTCCACTTAATGGGAAACTTGGCTCCTGAAAGAACAATGGCACACATTCTATAATTACTGCAGTAGAGTCAATGGCTGTTACTAAAGCAAAGCAAATGTCAGCATTTTAAAACATCCTGTAGACTTCAACTTACTTAATGCAATGGATTTACATGGTAAAAAATTTAAACCAATTTATTTATTTATTTTGCCATGTCAACCCATTGATAGTGTTCATGGGTTCAGGACACAAGTCAGATTTGAACCCGTCTTCTGCACCAGCATTACAGCTCAAATAACATGAGAAACTGAAATACATCGATTCATAGATCATGAAAGGTCATTAGTGAAACATCTACAAATAAATATGCACATACAAAGCATAAGATTGCAGTATGTGACGTATCATTTTCTTTACTGCCCAGAAGCATTTGGGTTCTCTCAGGGAAATAAATCATCATTCACCATTTATGTAGGTAATGGCAAGTCAACATGCTCTACACAATCACAGTGCATTCTGGGAGATGATGGATTCAGACAGTAAGTGAGGTAATTCTGTATGATTACATGCTGATTGCCTTGTAATTTCCAGCACAACAGCTTTGTTGCCAGTAGCAGCATTGTTGCAGACAAAAGATGGTGAGTTACATATTTCACCATGCATATATTGTTTCCATTTTCAAATCAAAGCTTTGATTTTATATTAATTATAATTATAGAATAAAATATATAATTTCCCTGAATGCTTCATAAAATAAAAATCACAGGAGTAGAATATCATTAAGAATCTACTTCATCTACTTTTCATTCACAACCTGAGTGGAACAATATTCCAGTAATATACACTGAACAATACAGTGAAAACCGGGATTCATCCTTGAAGAGAACACCTCTCCAAAGTGTCAGATGCCATCGAATGTGAGCATTTGCCCACTCAAGTCAGTTACGACGACGAACTGCAGTCAGCTCGAGACCCCGATGAGGACGACGAGCTGGCAAATGAGCTTCCCTGAGACGGTTTCTGACAGTTTGTGCAGAAATTCTTTGGTTATGCAAACTGATTGTTGCAGCAGCTGTCCGGGTGGCTGGTCTCAGACGATCTTGGAGGTGAAGATGCTGGATGTGGAGGTCCTGGGCTGGTGGCGTTACACGTGATCTGCGGTTGTGAGGCTGGTTGGATGTACTGCCAAATTCTCTGAAACGCCTTTGGAGACGGCTTATGGTAGAGAAATTAACATTCAATTCACGGGCAACAGCTCTGGTGGACATTCCTGCAGTCAGCATGCCAATTGCACGCTCCCTCAAAACTTGTGACATCTGTGGCATTGTGCTGTGTGATAAAACTGCACATTTTAGAGTGGCCTTTTATTGTGGCCAGCCTAAGGCACACCTGTGCAATAATCATGCTGTCTAATCAGCATCTTGATATGCCACACCTGTGAGGTGGATGGATTATCTCGGCAAAGGAGAAGTGCTCACTAACACAGATTTGTGAACAATATTTGAGAGAAATAGGCCTTTTGTGTACATAGAAAAAGTCTTAGATCTTTGAGTTCAGCTCATGAAAAATGGGGGCAAAAACAAAAGTGTTGCGTTTATAATTTTGTTCAGTGTAATAATATAAGTCTACATTCACTTAAAATTCCCTGTCGGATAGTAATACGTGATTGGAATTTAATCTGGATAATAATCATGATTTATTTCTAATATCAGATAAAGCATGGCCAGGCAATTAGGTAATTATCACTATATAGAATCTATAGAATGTTTTAATATTGCATTTCCGCCCACGTACCTTGTCTTGCAGTGTATTCGTTGTCTTCAATCAGTCTAGCCAGGCCAAAGTCGGCGATCTTGCAGACCAGATTGTCTCCCACCAGGATGTTAGCAGCCCTCAGGTCTCTGTGGATGTAGTTCATCCTCTCGATGAAGGCCATGCCATCTGCAATCTAGACAAGATAACAGGAAATCAAGCCTCCAGAAACTCTTATAAAAGCCAACCTGTCAGTTCCAGTCATGGAAATCCTATATTAAGAGTGCCGAAATGTTGCATTTATGAATTCAGATGAGGTGGCACAAAATCAAAGCTTCAGTGCTTAAAAGCTATGGTTTAACCAATGTTTATATAGCTCGGGGCTCACCAAACTCTGTCCTGGAGGGTCGGTGTCCTGCAGAGTTTAGTCAAACACACCTGACTTGAAACTTCCAGGCAGGTGTGTTGAGGCAAGTTGGAGCTAAACTCTGCTAGACACCGGTCCTCCACTACCGAGTTTAGTGACCCCTGATATAGGTGCTTATGGACAAAATCTACAAAGCAAGCAAACTGTTTGCTAAATACAAGCTTGAAAGAAGAAAACAGAAAACAGGAAGAAAATAAGGGAATTTAACAAACAACCTTAGACTGCAAAAGGTTTTCATAAGCATCATCTCACAAGCTGAGATGTGAGAGGGAGACTGAAGCCTCAGCCAAGCAATGCGGCAGCGATGGGAGCCGAGAGAGAGAGAGAGAGAGAGAGTGCAGTATTGAAGTGGAACGTGAGAGAGCAACAGCAAGCATTTTAAGCGAACAGAGCAGAATTGAGTAGACACATTAAAGTGAAGTGGCCCCATAGGAGTGGCGGTTAAGTGCTTCAAGCATTAGGCGGGAAATGAGGATCATAGTGCCTGGGAGAGACACACAGGCAGCAGGATGTCATATCAGATATTAAATAAGTATGACAGCCAGATGGAGGCTGAAACAGAAACCCTGCCGCTCTGGGAGATGCCACTGGTCCAGGTTCACTGTGACATGCTTCTGCTAACGATTGGGCAGCTGTGCGTTACCACGTGTGGAAAAGGAAAACAAAGATGGCTGGTTAACAGTGGATCGTGGTTGGGTTTTTCTCTCACCTGGGCAGCCATGTCTACCAGCTGGGGCAGCTTGAGGTACTTGCCCTCACCCTCCTTCAAGAAGTCCAGCAAACTCCCTAAAAGACAAAGGCAAAAAGTGAAGCAGTTTTTCAAAATTTGAATTTTAACTTGAGAGTTTAAAAGAGGCTCAAAAACAGGATATGAACCACTATTTTAATTATATGAAATATAATTATAATTGAAATATAATTCCCCAGGACCACAAGGTAACTTATTGGATGAATTAGATGTGCTGCTCTCAACATTTCCTGAGGATGGTACTCCCCTAGTTATGCTTAGAGACTTCAACATCCACCTAGATAAACCTCAGGCTGCAGACTTCCACACTCTGCTTGCCTCTTTTGATCTCAAGAGAGTGTTAACTATTATCTGCTATGGTTTCATCTTCGCTTCCTCCCTCTAAACAGTTAGCATCTCTTGATGCTAACAGTTTTACTGATACTTTCTGCTCCACTCTTACATCTTGTTTAGACACTGTCTGCCCCTGGTCTTCCAGGCCAGGCCGTACCACTCCTTCTGCCCCTTGGCTGTCTGATGTTCTCCGAGAAGATCGTTCTAAGCTCAGAGCTGCTGAAAGGGTGTGCCTAGATAAACCTCAGGCTGCAGACTTCCACACTCTGCTTGCCTCTTTTGATCTCAAGAGAGTGTTAACTATGGCTACTCACAATTCAGGCAACCAACTGGACCTTATTTACACACGACACTGCTCCACTGATCATGTACTGGTTACTCCACTGCACACCTCGGATCACTTCCTCCTCACTCTTAACCTCAACATGGTTCCTGACTCAACACATACCCCTCCACATGTCATCTTTCGACGTAACCTACACTCACTCTCACCCTCCCGGCTATCTGCTATGGTTTCATCTTCGCTTCCTCCCTCTAAACAGTTAGCATCTCTTGATGCTAACAGTTTTACTGATACTTTCTGCTCCACTCTTACATCTTGTTTAGACACTGTCTGCCCCATGTCTTCCAGGCCAGGCCGTACCACCCCTTCTGCCCCTTGGCTGTCTGATGTTCTCCGAGAAGATCGTTCTAAGCTCAGAGCTGCTGAAAGGGTGTGGCGCAAATAAAAAAATACTACCGACCTTAATGTGTATCAGTCACTCTCTTCCTTCTCTGCTAATGTCTCCACTGCTAAAAGGACAAACTATCATAACAAAATTAACAATTCGTCTAACTCTCGCATGCCATTTAAAACATTTTCCTCCCTCGTTTGTCCTCCTCCCCCCCTTCGTCAACTCTAAAAGCTGATGACTTTGCCACGTTCTTCATTAATAAAATGAAATCCATCAGTGCACAATTTTCCACACCACAATCGGTCAAGCACATCTTATCAGCAAACATGCACTCGTTCACATCATTCTCTTCACTCTGAGGCAGAAGTCTCCAAACTCATCCTTTCTAATAATCCTACTACTTGTTCGCTCGATCCTATTCCATCTCATCTTCTTCAAGCCATTTCTCCTGCAGTTGTACCTGCACTCACTTACATCATTAACATCCCTTAACACTGGTGTTTTTCCCTCAGCATTTAGACAGGCTCGTATAAACCCACTGCTTAAGAAACCCACCCTTAACCCATCTCTTTTAGAGAACTACAGACCGCAAGACATCGGTTTCCCTTCTTCCTTTCATTGCAAAAACACTTGAACGAGATGTGTTCAACCAAGTCTCTGCCTTTCTCACATAGAACAACCTCCTCGACAGCAACCAGTCTGGTTTCAGAAGTGGACATTCAACAGAGACTGCCTTGCTCGCAGTTGTTGAAGCCCTAAGACTGGCAAGAGCGGATTCCAAATCTTCAATACTTATCTTGCTCGATCTGTCCGCTGCTTTAGACACAGTTAACCACCAAATCCTTCTGTCAAACCTATTGGCAAAGGCCATTTCAGGAACCACACTCCAGTGGTTTGAGTCTTATCTCTCAGATAGGTCCTTCAAGATATCTTGGAGAGGTGAGGTGTCCAAGTCACAACATCTAACGACTGAGGTGCCTCAGGGCTCAGTTCTTGGACCACTTCTCTTCTCTGTCTACATGGCAT